GGCCTGCCATGTGGTTTGGTAACATCGGGACTGTGCCTTTTTACTTGTCAACCTTGGGCTTGACAGCCTTAGCAGCCAGTAGCTGTCTATGTGAAGAAAAGCCTGCAGCTTCAGTGGGCCAGGAGCAAGAGGCAGAGCTGAAGTCCAAGGCTGAGGGACTTTCACCCAGCCCCTAGAGCTTGGCACTTTGAACTTGGACTTAAAGCCTCCAAAATGAAGAGAATAAATTCAGTTTAAGCCATCCCATTTGTGGTATATTCTTGTCAGAGAGGCACTAGGGAACCAGAACTGATGGGCTTGGAGGCATCAGCTGTTTCACATGGCACTTCTAACATTGATTACAAGACCGTCTCATTCAAGACATGTCCACCTAGGTGACGAGGTCTGAACTTGTTTAATTTCCTAATCTCTCTTTCTCTGCAAGACAGGTTATAAACAATTTGCTGCTTTGTAGTCTCCTCATTAATCAAAATCAATAAAACATTGACTAATATTTAACAACCTTCTTACAAGGTACCATGTGCATCCCAGGGGTATAAGACACAGACCCTGCTGTCATGGACCTTGTCATACTGTTGTGGAGGTAATGGATCATGCGTCAGAAGAAAAATCAGAATCTTTGAAAGTATATCACGACCAAAATAAACAACAAATGCAATGCAAGTCAAAAAGTGGATGTGCTTTCTGAGTGGACTGGATGGTTGGAGAAAGGTTAATTTACAACAAAACCAGCCAATGAAACAAAAAACAGTAGATCCATTCAAAGTTCTTAGATCCATTAAAATATTCAAAAGTTATGCAGGTGCCAAGGGGAAGGTCAGAGTGTTCTAGATATTGGGAGCGGGGAAGCCTGGAGGGAGATTAAGGAAGGCTCTGAATGCCCAGGGAAGGACATTGGATGTGCCATTAAAATGTATTTAGTTCCCAGATGCCTAACATACCTAAAACCTTGCAGAACCTGAAGATCCAAATGAAGGACTTTGAAGTCAGTGCCGAGCCCGTGCAGCAGTGGCTGAGTGCCACCGAGAAGATGGTGCGAGAGAGCAGTGTTCGGCTCCACGACCTGCCAGCCAAGAGACGGGAGCAGCAGAAGCTCCAGGTGACAAGACCCTGGGCCCTGTCTGACCACACTTTTCGTTAGTGCTACGCTGAGCTCCCTCGAGTTAGATTATGCCACCTTGAGAGATAGCGGCTTCTCTCCCAATTTCAGAAAGATTCCGTGTCTCCTGATGTCCCACAGAGGTGCGATTTGCTTCCTTCCTGTAGTGTTATCCCACGTGTAGCTCCCGAATAACGAAGCCTCTGGTACGCCGATTGCTCGCCAGTGTTTATTTCTACGTTCTTCCGGCCACAGCTTTGTCTGCGATGTGCTTTGCCCCAGCCCTTTAACAGTAACTTGCTTGTGCTTTTCAGTCTGTCCTTGAGGAAGTAAACTGCTACGAGCCTCAGCTCCACAGGCTCAAAGAGAAAGCTCAGCAGCTGTGGGAAGGACAGGCTGCCAGCAAGAGCTTTCTGCACAGAGTGTCGCAACTGTCTTCTCAGTACCTAGCTCTAAGCAATGTAACAAAGGTAACGCCTGCCATGTGCTGTGTGTGAGTGTGGTACCAATGTCGCCAATCTGCGTCATGCTAATGGGTTGCCCAGGGTGTCTGGTGTGGGGGCTTGAGGTCAGGAATCCGGCATGTGTGCACTGTCCCCCAGCCTTGTCATCTGAGTCAGTCTTGTATCATCTTAACCGAGTTGTCTGCAAACAGCGAGAAGTCTCTGAAGAGACCACAGAGCTGTGTGACCACGTAGAGTATTTCTCTGAATACTGAAGAGATATGTGCCACAGAGCTTTGATCCCAAAGACACAGAGCAGAAACATGAGGCAAAATTCAGAGTTTTTGTTCTAAAGAATCTCAGAAATAAATTACTATAGAAAAGCATCCATTCAAAGCAGCTTAAATGTCAGGGGACTAAATACAGTGAGTTTGGAATGGTACAGTCTTTGTTTACAGTCCTTGCATTCATTTGACATTAGATAGTGGTGGAAGGTGTATAGATCTAGGGTTTCAGGGCAGATTCTAGAGCAACACTCGAAATTGGCGCTCGGTCATGTAACTGGATCTCTTTGCAAATCCCTTCAAAAAGTAAACGGCTCCCACTCTGACCTCATTTATAATGAAAACTCATGTTGAATCTGATAGCTACAGACCCACCTTGAGCTGTATGTAGCCTGTGATATTTGTCTGGTGCAATTCCTTCTGCATTTGAGATCTTAGAGTGTAGGAAGGCTGCCACCCTTTTCTTTAATTTGGCCTCACTATTTCAGTGTCGGGAGCTCTGGTAGTATAGTGCCTAAGGCACTTGACTGCTAACCAGGAAGCTGGCGGTTCAAACCCACCAGCCACTCCTTGGAAGGAAGGTTGGGCAATCCTACTTCCGTTGTGATAACTGCCTCGGAAACCCAAGGAGGCGTCGCTAGGAGTCGGGGCTGACTCTATGGCAAATAACAACAACAACAACATTTCAGTGTAAACTTATTTATTTAATTTGAGTCCTCTGGTGGCATAGTGCCTAAGGCATTTGACTGCTAACAGAAGGCTGGCAGTTCAAACCCACCAGCCACTCCTCAGAAGGAAGATAGGGCAAACTACTTCTGTAGAGATACTGCCTTGGAAACCCAAGAAGGGGTCGCTATGAGTCAAGACTGACTTGATGGCAGTGAGTTTTTTTTACCTTCCTTCAAAAAAAAAAAACAAAAAACATATATATATATATATATATATATATAATTGAAAGAGTCAGTATGTATATAGATCCTGTGGTAAATAGTCTATGTTTTTGCCCATGTTTATTCTATGACTAAAACCCCATTGCCATCAAGCCAGTTCGACACATAGCAACCTTATAGGACAGGGTAGAGCTGCCCTATCAGACCTTCAAGGCTGTAATTTTTACGGAACCAGACTGTCATATCTTTCTCAAATGAAGCACCTAGTGGATTTGAACTGCTGACCTTTTGGTTAGCAGCCAAGTTCTTAACCATATGCCACTAGGGCTCTAACTCTATGAATAAGTTACTTTTTTTTTTTTTTGTCTTTAGGATGTCTGGCACATATCTAAGATCAGAATGAATTAAGGACATCTTTCTATGCCCTAAAGCATTCAGCTAGGAGTACTGGTAGCATAGTGCCTAAGGCATTTGACTGGTAACCAGAAGGCTGGCAGTTCAAACCCGCCAGTCATTCCTCAGAAGAAAGGTTGGGCAATCTACTTCCACAGTGATACTGCCTCGGAAACCCAAGGAGGGGTCGCTATGAGTCGGGTTCGACTCGCCGGCAGTGAGTTTTTAGAAAGCATTCAGCTAGTTGCTAACCAAGAGATCAGCGGTTTGAACCCCCCAGCCATTCTCTGGGAAAAAGATGAGGCAGTCTGCTCCTATAAAGATTTACAGCCTTGGACACCCTATGAGGGCAGTTCTGCTCTGTCCGATAGGGTCACTATGAGCCAGAATCCACTCAATGGCAGTGGGTTCTGTTTGGTTCGCCTTTTATGCCATGGTATTTTGTTAGATATCAAGAATTAGGGAGCTCCAGTGGTGTAGTGCCTAAGGCATTTGACTGCTGATCAGAAGGCTGGTGGTTCAAACCCACCAGCCACTCCTTGAAAGGAAGACAGGGCAATCTACTTCCGTAGAGATACTGCCGCAGAAAGCCAAGGAGGGGTTGCTATGAGTCAGAACTGACTCTATGGCAGTAACTTTGGGTTTTTTTTGGTTTATCAAAAATTAATAGATATTTGAATGCTTTAAAAGCTATAAACTATTTTTATAAAGTCTTCCACTGAGTTGTACAAGACCAATACTAAATAAATAAAATAACAGTCATGGACCCAACTTTTAAAATGTGAGGATATTAAAAAATCCCACATAATTATTTTTTTAGAACTTTGGCTACTCTGTCGCTCCCCAGAGCTTGTGATGTCAGTGAAGCCAAATGTGACATGCAGACATTAGAAGCCACTTTAGGAGGGCCCCAGACAAGGCATTAAGACAAGATTTCACTAACTCTAAGAAACTTCCACAGTTATCCCAAAAGAATCCTTACTACCCTGAGTAAGTTGTAGTTGCTCTTTTGGCCCAATTATTCTAACGTGTTTGCTATTTCTAAGGATACTTAGCATTTTTGCTAAATGAATGCAGGCATACAGCACAGTATCTGTGCAGTATATGAACCAACTGCTGCTGGCAGCTTTTCAAACAAACGGTTAGGTTTGCCCTTAGAGTGGTTTTAGGCTGTGAGATCTCTGTGGAAAGGACAGCTGAAAACCCATCCCTGTCACTTCCAGGAGAAAGTGTCAAGATTGGATAGACTCGTTGCCGAACACAATCAGTTCTCTGTTGGGGTTAAGGAGCTCCAAGACTGGATGACTGACGCGATTCACATGCTGGATTCTTACTGCCACCCCACCTCCGACAGGAGCGTGCTGGACAGCAGGATGCTGAAGCTCGAGGTGAGCATGCTCACACAGGAACCTCTGTCCTACATTTGTTTTTCTCAACACGTCTCACCTCTGTCTGCCTAATGCAATTTTGTCACACTCTGTCCACACTAAGGCTCAGAATGCCTTTGTGGTTGTGGCTCTCTATGCACAGGGCGTGGTTGTTTCATTACCATTGAGTCAGCCCTGACTCATGGTGACCCTGGGCACAATAAGGAAATGCTGCCAGTGCTTCTCCATCCCCACGAGCACTTGTGGATCAGACAGTTGGCTGGGCTCAACACAGCTGCTGCCTCCAAAACCAAAAACCAGTTGCCATGAAGTTGATTCTGACTCCTGGCAGCCCCACGCATCTCAGAGTAGAACTGTTGCATAGGTTTGCATGCTGAGACCTTTTGGAAGCAGATTTCTAGGCCTTTATTCCAAGATGCCTCTGGATGGGTTAGAAACTCCAGTCTTACCAACCTTTTGCACCACGAAGGGACTAGGAACTCTAAAATAGCTAACACCAGCAATGTTAGCTGTGGAAATGACAGTGGACTTCTGTATTTGATTTTCCAGGCTCTGTTATCAGTGAAACAGGAAAAAGAGGTTCAGATGAAGATGATAGTGACGAGAGGTGAGTCTGTCCTCCAGAACACCTCTCCAGAAGGCATCCCTGCCATTCAGCAGCAACTGCAGACCGTGAAGGAGACGTGGGCTTCTCTGTTGTCTTCCGTGATTCGTTGTAAAAGGTAAATGCGACTAAAGTCCCTTCCTATGATAACAATATAGATCTCAGTAACAGAATGCTCTTGGTTCCTTCTTTCTTTTTTAATCAGAGCAAATGAAATGGAGAGGTTTAATCTTTCATGGAGGTTGAGTTGCAATAGTAAACCTAGGTTTCAACATAATTGAAACTGTTTATTTCTTTTTTGTTGTTCACCATTTAAAAATTAAAAGAGAACTAAGCATTTTGTAATGTAAAGACGTTGATTAAAGACAAATAACTTACCTTGGATGGGGGAAACTGTGGTTCAGTGGGAGAATTCTTGCTGTCCATGCGGGAGTCCCAGGTTCAATTACTAGCCAATGCACCTCATGCAGACAGCACCCATCTGTCAGTGGAGCTTGCAGACTGAGATGGACTAGGAAGAAAGGCCTGGTGATCAACTTTCAAAAATCAGCCAATGAAAACCCCGTATGCATCACAGTAGTCCAGTTTTGTTGTCCTGATTCCATTGTACATGGGATCACCATGAGTTAACTTGACATCTAACAAAACAGATGAGTGAGGGAGGGTAGCAAATAAAGGTTGTTGTTGTTTTTGTTAGGTGCCATCAAGTTGTCTCTGACTCATAGCGACCCTGTGCACGACAGAACAAAACACTGCCCGGTCCTGTGCCAGCCTTATGATCTTTGCTATACCTGAGCCCATCTTTGAGCCACTGTGCCTATCCATCTTGTTGAGGGCCTTCCCTTTCTTTGATGACCCTCCACCTTACCAAGCATGATACCCCTCTCTAGGAAATGATTTCTTCTGACAACATGACCAAGGAGGTGAGATGAAGTCTGGCCATTCTTGCTTCCAGGGAGCATTCTGGCTGCATTTTTTCCAGGACAGATTTGTTAGTCCTTTTAGCAGACCATGGTACTCTTAGCATTCTCCAACTACAACTCAGAAGCATCAACTCTTCTTCGGTCTTTCTTATTCATTGTCCAACTCTCACATGCATATGAGATGATTGAAAATACCATGGCTTGGGTTAGGCACACGTTAGTCTTCAAGGAGACATCTTTGTTCTTCATCACTTCAGAGAAGTCTTTTGCAGCAGATTTGCCCATTGAAATATGCCATCTGATGTCTTGACTGCTTCTTCTATTGGTGTTGATTGTAGAACCAAATAATACGAAAACCTTGACGACTTCAATCTTTTCTCCGTCCATCATGAAGCCAATTGTGAGGATTTTTGTTTTCTTTATATTGAAGTGTAATCTGTACTTGGTCAGCATACAAGTAGAATAAATATGGTGAAAGGATACAACTTTGACACACTCCCTTCTTGATTTTGAACCATGTAGTATCCCCTTGTTCTGTTTGAACGACAGCCTCCTGATCTATGTATAGGTTCTTCATGAGTACAATCAAGTGTTCTGGAATTCCCATTCTTCTCAATGTTGTCCATAATTTGTTACACAATTGAGTGTTTTTACATAGTCAATAAAATACAAGTAAACATCTTTCTGGTATTCTTTGCTTTGAGCCAAGATCCATCTGACATCAACTATGATATCCCTCATTCCACATCCTCTTCTGAATCCAACTTGCATTTCTGGAAGTTCTCTGTCAATATACTGCTACAACCATTTTTTAATTATCTTCAGTAAGATTTTACTTGGATGCAGTATTAATGATATTGTTTGATAATTTCCACATTCTGTGGGATCATCCTTCTTTGGAATGGGTACAAATATGGATTTCTTCCAGTCAGTGGGCCAGGTAGCTGTCTTCCAAATCTCTTGACATAGCTGAGTGAGTGCCTCCAATGGGGCATCTGTTTGTTGAAACATCTCAGTGGACATTCCGTCAATTCCTGGAGGCTCGTTCTTCGCCAGCTCCTTCAATGCAGCTTCAACTTCTCCCTTCAGTACATTGGTTCTTGATCATATGCCACCTCCTGAAATTGATGAACATTGACCAATTCTTTTTGGTAGTGACTCTGTGTATTCCTTCCATCTTCTTTTGATGCTTCCTGCATCATTCAATATTTCGCCCGTAGAATCTGTCATATTGCAACTCAAGGCTTAATTTTTTTCTTCAGTTCTGTCAGCTTGAGAAATGCCAAGCCGGTAATTCCCTTTTGGTTTTCTAACTCCAAGTCTTTGCACATTTCATTTAGTAATTGGCTTTGTCTGGTCAAGCTACTCTTTGAAATCTTCATTTCAGCTCTTTTATCTTGTCATTTCTTTCATTTGCTTTAACTACTCTCTGCTCAAGGGCAAGTTTCAGAGTCTCTCCTGACATCCATTTTGGTCTTTTCTTCCTTTCTTGTCTTTTTAATGATCTGCTTGCTTTCTTCATGGATGATGTCCTTGATGTTATCCCACAATTCCTCTAGTTTTTGGTCACTGGTGTTCAACGCATCAATTCTATTCTTTAAATGGTCTCTAAATTCAGGAGGAATATTATCAAGGTCATATTTTGACTCTCATGGTCTTGTTTTAATTATTTTCAGCTTCAAGTTGAACTTGCATATGATTTGATGGTCTGTTCCACAGTCAGTTCCAGGCCTTGTTTTGGCTGAAGATATTGAACTTCTCCATCGCCTCTTGCCACCCGTGTAATCAATCTGATTCCTGTGTATTCCATCTGGTGAGGTCCACGCATATAGTCATAGCTTATGTTGCTGAAAAAAAGGATTTTGTGGTGAATAAGTCGTTGGTCTTGCAAAGTTCTATCATGTAATCTCCAACGTTATTTCTATAACCAAGGCCATATTTTCCAACTACCGATAACTCTTATTTGTTTCCAACTTTTGCATTCCAATCGTCAGTGATAGTCAGCACATTTTGATTGCATGTTCGGTCAATTTCAGACAGCAGAAGTTGGTAGAAATCTTCAGTCTCCTCATCTTTGGCTTTGGTGGTTGGTGCATAAATTTGAATAATAGTAGTATTAACTGGTCCTCCTTGTAGGCATGTGGATATCATCCTATCACTGACAGTGTTGTACTTCAGGACAGATCTTGAAACAGTCTTTGTGATGATGAAATGCCATGCCATTCCTCTTCAATTTGTCATTCACAGCATAGTAGATCATATGGTTGTCTGATTCAAAATGGCCAAAACTTGTCCACTTCAGCTCAATAATGTCTAGGATATTGATCTTTATGCATTCCATTTCATTTTTGACAACTTCTAATTTTCCTAGATTCGTGCTTCGTACATTCCATGTTCCAACTATTAATGGATGTTTACATCTGTTTCTACCCATTTTGAATCATGCCACATCAGCCAATGGAGGTCCCAAAAGCTTTATTCTATCCACATCGTTAAGGTTTACTCTATTCTGAGGAGGCAGCTCTTCCCCGGTCATATTTTGAGTGCCTTCTGACCTGATGGGCTCATCTTCTGGCACTATATCAGACAATGTTTCAGGGCTATTGATAAAGATTTTCAGTAATATAGTAGACAGTGTTTCACCACTATTCATAAAGTTTTCACTGGCCAATTGTTTGAGAAGTAGATGGCCTCTTCCTTCTTCCAAGTCTGTCTTATCTCAGAAGCTTCACTGAAACCTGTTCACCATGGGTAACCCTGCTGGCATTTTTCAACACGGTGGCATGGCCTCCTGCCTCACAGCAACACATAAGCCACCACAAGATAACAAACTGACAGACAAGTTTGTCTCCCTAGTTCCTAACTCCTCTGCACCTGCCTATCTTGGGCAATGGCCTTAAAATTGAGCTGCCCGCAAGTGGAAAGCAGCCCCTGAGCCCCAGCCCTCCTACCTCAGGCCCTGGCCTTAATAAAGAGCTGCCTCCAAGTGAAAAGGAGGCCCTGAGCCCTGGCCTGCTGACCTGGGGCTCCAGCCTTAAAATACAGCCGCCCCAAGTGAAAAGCAGCCTCCAAGCCCTAGCCCAGCCTGTCTCAGGCCCCAGCCTTAAGAAAGAGCTGCCCCCAAGCAAAAAGTAGCCCCCATCCCTGGGCCCAACTACCTCTGGCCCTATCTTTAATAAAGAGCCACACCAAGGGAAAAGCAGCCTCCAAGCCCTGGGGCTGCCTACCTCAGGCCTGGACCTTAATATAGCGCCACACCTATGTGACAATCAGCCCCCAGCCCCAGGCCCACCTACCTGGCCCCAGCATTAATAAAGAGCCACCCCCAAGGCAAAAGCAGCCTCCAAGCCCTGAGCCTGCCTACCTTAGGCCCAGCCCCAATATAAAGGTACAATATCAATTAAATTGGAGCTCTGATGACATAGTGCCTAAGGCATTTGACTGCTAACCAAAAGGCTGGTGGTTCAAACCCACCAGCCACTCCTCTGAAGGAAGACTGGGCAATCTTCTTCCATAGAGATACCACCTCTGAAACCCAAGGAGAGGTCACTGTGAGTCAGAACTGATTCAGTGGCAGTGAGTTTGGTTTGGTATCAATTAAGTTAAAGAGCCCTAGTGGCTCAATGGTTAAGCCTAAAAGTCCGATAGGAGGAAAGACCCAGCAATCTGCTTCCTCAGAGATTACAGCCTAGGAAACCCTCGGGGGAGGTTCTATTCTATACTATCTGGTCACTGTGGGTAGGCATTGACTCAACAGCCCACAACAACAACAGCGTCAATCAAGTTACCTCTGTGGGCTATTGGAGTATAATTTTGCTGGGCAATATTGAGAGTCTGTGTAGAACAAGTGCCTCTAAGCCACCACCACCGCCACCCCCACAAGGGGAAGGAACCTAGTACATTTGTGAAAAACCTCTCTTGACTCAGAAGAGCACTTTAGGGCTACTCTCAGGGTGGATCATTCCTGGCCCTTCACACTTACCTTGTCCTCAGGCCACGTAGGCTCGGGAACCAACGAAAGCCCTAAGGCTAAGAGAACTGGAAGCTAGTAATTCGAAGTCCAGTTGACAGTACACTGAAATGGTCTGAGCTAAGGCTAGATACTGATAGGGCACTTAGAGTGCCTACGTACCAGGCAAGAACCCAAGGAGCTCCTGTGGCATAGTGGGTAAGGCATTTAGCTACAGACCAGAAGGTAAGAAGATGAGGCAAACTAGTTCTATAAAGATTTACCACCTTGGAAATCCAATAGGGGTCACTATGAGTCAGAATTGGCTCAATGGCAGTACGTTTTGGTTCAGTGAAAGGCCCCTAAACATGGTGGTGAAAATTAGGCACAATGATTATTAGAATTCAACATGTAACATGCATACTGAAAGGTCCCAAAACTAGTTGCTGTTGAACTGATTCTGGTTCCTGGTGACCCCGTATGCGCCAGAGCGGAACCGTGCTCAGAGGGTTTTCAGTGGGTGACGTTTTGGAAGTAGCTCACCAGGCGTTTTTTCAGGTGGATTTAAGCCTCCAGACTTTTGGTTAGCAGCCGAACCTATTAACCGTCTGCACTGCCCAGAGACTCCAGACACTGAGGGGGGCAAAAAAATACTGCCATCGAGTAGATTCTGACTCATAGCAACCCCCAGTGGCTTTCCAAGGTGGTAAATCTTTATGGAAGTAGATTGTCCCATCTTTCTTCCGTGAGGCAGGTACTGGGTTTGAACTGCCAGCCTTCTGGTTAGCAGTCAATGCCTTAAGTACTGAGAAAAGAAAGTGCTTAATTTATCTGTAACAGAAAGTATCAAGTTTTCCTGTTTAGACCAATTCAATTATCCCCTATTTTCTCTTGTGATTTTCTGACTTTTAAATCTCATGCAAGATGGCTCCTCTGCTTCCTGTTGTTCCACCTTTGTTCTAGTAATTCCTTTCTCTCTCCCGCCCTGCATGTCTTGTCCAACTTGGTGTCTTCAACCATCAGTTCTCTCCCTGTCCAGGGTCTGGCCTCCAGAAAAGGCACCCCCACAGAATGCCTCCTGGTTTCACCCTCAACCTTCTCACAGTGTCAAGAGTGACCTGGCTACCGACCCTGGTCCCATTTGTCTATCTGTCGACGACGTGGACTTAACTATCCCTTGCTTTCTGAGGCTGTCCTTGCCAGAGAGCTAGGGCTCTAATTTGATAATCCCTGGATAGCCTGTCCTCGTCCACACCTGCTGTCACCCTGCTCTCTGGGTCCCCTTCTAGCTGGAGGGGCCAGAGCAGACACGATGATAGATGCTGAACTTCTGAGCATGCTCAATACTGATTATTGTCCTTTAAAATACCTTTCAGTCAACTCGAAGGAGCCCTTTCTAAATGGACAAGTTATCAGGATGATGTTCGACAGTTCTCCAGTTGGATGGAGAGTATCGAAGCCAATATAAATGAGTCTGAAAGGCAGTGTGCGGAGCTGCGGGAGAAAACAGCTGCTCTCGGAAAAGCCAAGGTTAGAACCAGATTTCACCTCCATTTGTGGTTTCTTAAAATTCCATACCACTTACCATGGAGTCAGTTCCGACCCATGGCAACGCCAGATGTGTCAGAGTAGAAATGTCTCGCACAGGGTTTTGAAGGGCTGACTTCTAAGGTGCCTCTGGATCAACTTGAACCTCCAGCCTTTCCATTAACAGCAAGCACATTAACCTTCAGCACTGCACAGGGACCCCCACAGAGTGCCAGTCGTACAGAAATGCAATTACATGCCAGTGCTGAACATAGGTAATTTTGCACTGTAACTTCTAATGGCTTCTTAAGCCACACTTTGGCTTGTGATTATTTCATTTAATGAGTGAAAAATTTCTCTTCTAATAAAAATCAAATAGATCCATGTTTTATGATACATACTATAGAGAATTTGGCAACTTGTAATATATTTTAATATCTTCAGCTTGTTCATCTGATCAGTTACAAAGTCATTTTCATTAAATGACTTCTTCTCATCACATCTTTTTATATTTCCATTTTTGTGTATGTTTCCCAATTCTCATCATGTATTAGTCAAATACCATATGTGCTTTTTAGAAGTAAGTCATCATGATAATGTAATCACCATTATAATACATAATAATTTTCGAGCTAGGTTCCTAACTCTCTTTTCTATTGTATGGCAAAGTCAAGTTTTGCAGACTTAATTTTCTAGCTGCGGCCTCACCCTACATCCAGTTTTTTCAGCTGTATTCAGGGCAGAGTTACTGGGTGGCCTTTCCTACCTCCACCACACTGTGTTCTCAGAAGCACTCATTATCTTCTTCCCCAAACCTTTCAATAGCATATATTCTCAAGCTCAGTTAATTTGGGTCCCCCTACACTGACTAGCCTAGATTGGACACCTCATTATCCCTCATTTCTTCTCTCCTAGCCCCACTCGCATCACACATGAGGCCCTGCTGATTTTGTCTCAGAAATTTATCTTCCCACTCATCTTTCGTATTCTAGTGATTTAGTATCATGCACAGGCCTCCTAACTGCTCACTTTGTCTCTCATCTCCATCTACTGTGATCTTCCTGTGAAGGCATTTCTCACTCCCTGCTGTTGAGCTCTGGTGGGTTTCCCATCACCTGCAACGCAATGCCAATCTCTCTCTCCCTCTCCTGGTTTGTAAGAATCTCAACACTCCTTCTCTCTCCTCATCTCCTTTACTCACCAAACCTCCTTCCACTTGTCTCCAGCTATCCTGCATCTGTTTCCTGAAAGTGCCACTTTTTTATCACGCCGGGCCTCTGCAAACTATCTTCCCTTTTCACAGATGCCCTCTCTCTGCCTGGGCACTGGCCTAACATATCCACACACACTCACTTGTGTGAATATCATACACACACACACACACACACACACATGATTAAAAATGATTATGTGTATGTATATATATGATAACTTGGTAATATTTGAAAACTGTATAGTTAATCTGTCTTAACTTTAGCAGTATCACTGATGTGATGGTGCACATGGTAACTCCTTTATTTTTTAAAAACTGTTGTCTAGTTGTTAAATGAAGAAGTACTGAGTCACAGCAGCTTGCTGGAGACCATTGAAGCCAAAAGGGCTGGCATGACGGAGCACTATGTCACCCAGTTGGAAGTCCAGGATCTGCAGGAACGATACAGAGTGATCAGAGAGAGGGCCAAGGTATGGTTCCCATGCCCACATATGCTCACTGCAGTAGGATGTGTGGGGCTGTCTTCATTTAAAGGCATGTTTATTTTGGGGGATGACAAGCATGGAAAAATATAAATGAATTTTAATACTTTAAATGTACCACTGGCAAAACCAAACAAATATTAGTATATGAAAGTCATTGTTGCTGTTAGGTGCCATTGTGTCAGTTCTAACTTGTAGAGACCCCATGCATGACAGAGAAAAACACAACCCAGTCACGCACCATCCTCACAAACATTCCACAATCATTAATCCCATTATTGCAGCCACTATGTTGATCCACTGTGACAGTCTTCCTCTTTTTCACTGACCCTCTACTTTATTAAGCATGCTGTCCTTCTCTCAGGATTGGTCCCTGCTAATAACATGTCCAAAGTATGTGAGACAAAGTCTGGCCATTCTTGAGTCTAAGGAGCATTCTGGCTGGACATCTTCGAAGACTGATTTGCTCATTCTTTTGGCAGGCCATGATATATTCAATATTCTTCACCAACACCATAACTCAAAGGCATCACTTCCTTTTCAGTCTCCTTTATTCATTCTCTAGCTTTTGCATGCATCTGAGGCAGTGGAAAATACCATGACTTGAGTTGGGTGCTCCTTCATTCCCAAAGTGACATCTTTGCTTTGTAACACTTTAAAGAGGTCTTTTGCAGCAGATTGGCCCAATGCAATCTGCCATTTTATTTCTTGACTGCTAAGCATTGATTGTGGATCCAAGTAAAATGAAGTCCTTAACAACATTAATCTTTTCTCTAGTTATCATGATGTTGCTTATTGGTCCAGTTATGAAGATTTTTTATTTTTGTCATGTTGAGGTATAATCCAAACTGAAGGCAGTAGTCTTTAATCTCCATCAGTATGTGATTCAAGTCTTTCTCACTTTCAGCAAGCAAGGTTGTGTCTTCTGCATATTGCAGGTTGTTAGTGAGTCTTCCTCCCATCCTGATGCCATGTTCTTCATATAGTCCAGCTTCTAGGATTATTTGCATACAGATTGAGTAAGCATGGTGAAATGATACAATCCTGATGCACACCTTTCCTGATTTTAACCTATGAAGAATCCCTTTGTTCTGTGTGAACAACTAACTACCTCTTGGTCGGTGTACATATTTCTCATGAGCACAATTTAGTATTCTGGTAACCCCATTTAAGAATATTTAGTAAATGATTATTTAATAAATAATGGAATCATTATTAAATTCAATGATTATAATAAATTAAAGTTGCTAAAGTAAAATAACTATTAATAATTCCTAGAAAGTCACCAATTAAGAAAAAATATGGACAATTTCATAATGAAGATTTATGATTGACTTATTATGTCTGGTGGTAACAATTTCTTACACAGGAAATAATAACCAATAAAACTTTATCATTATTTAGCCTCAAAAATAAATAATTTTTAAAAGTAATTTTTCAGAGCAAATCTTCATTTATTAAAGGAGGTACATAGAAAATTAAATCTGTAATGAGTCCAAAATTTTATTTTGGGTAAAATAACAATTTCAATTTTCTTCCTTAGCAAAAGTGTATTTTTATGCAAGGTGAAATTTAATTTATTTTTGGATATATCTAAGTTACATTCCATATGCTACTCAGAGATCAGGTAGTTAATTCGATGAAATGACCTTAAAAATTCAAAAATCTCACTACTGTCAAGTTGGTTCTGACTCATAGCAACCTCTCCTTGGGTTTCCAAGGCGGTATCTCTACAAAAGTAGATTGCCCAGTCCCTTTTAATACTGAAATGTTATTTTTTCATATTTTTCTACATAAATTTGTAAGGTCATTCTTCCAGGAAAACTTTCATATTCCAATCATTTAATAATTGTTGTTTTCCAAAATGTTCAAAAGTGAATCGTTACAGCACATTGATTCTGTAGGTATTAATGTATTCGTATGTCACTGATCTTACTTGCTAATAATAGGAAGCAGTAACCAAGTCTGAAAAACTAGTTCGCCTGCACCAAGAGTATCAGAGAGAACTAAAAGCATTTGAAATTTGGCTGGGACAAGAACAAGAAAAACTTGACCAATCCTCAATTCTTGAAGGTGATGCCCAGGCTCACGAGACAACATTACGTGGTCTTCAGGTAATGTCTACTTCATTTTAAGCAAAGGAATTTTCATTCTGAACTTGGATTTATTATTTTAGAAGGGGAATATTAATCCATGTTAATTGCAGTCTGGAGAGATTTGATCTTATTCACTCTGGAACCTTAGTGGTATAGCTTAGTTGGGATAATTTCATAGACAATTTAGACCAGGAGGTACTGGGGCTTGGAGAACTCATCTAGCATGAAAGAATGACTCGATGCCTAATTTACAATGTTGACTGGACACTTGCCTGTTGCTCCCTAAAGGATCAAATCCAATGTGAGACAGAACAGCAGGTGCCTATAAATTGTGACACTTCTCAGAGTCACACTGATGGCAGCATATTGGATCATCTTCAAGAAAAGCCTCCAGCATTGCTGAGGATGCAGGTCTAGGGTCAGAAGCCTATAAGAAGTAATTAGAGGAGCTAGAAGAATGTCAGTGCTTGGCAAGTGGAATATGCTTAGGGGCTCAATGGCAGACCTAGTGGGGAACCTTGTCATAACCCAGTTACATCCTTATTTGCTCCTTCAGCATGTATCAAATGCCTAGTAGAATGCAGACCCTTTGTTAGCTACCTCAAGTGAAATGATTGAGATATTATTCCTGCCCTCAAAGAACTCACAGTCTAGTGAGGGAGGCAGACTCAGACACAGAGCATTAGAAACCATGTGGTAAGGATGGTAATAGACTTAGTGCAAAGAATCTTATGGGAGCATCAAAGAGAGGCTTACTTGGGAATCTTACTTAGGAAGATAAGTAGGTATTGGGAAGGTGCCCCAAGAAGGGGCCAACAGGCACACGCAGTAGAAAATGGGGAAAGACCAATGAAAGAACTCCACACCCCACGAGCTGTGAGTTGGAACTTACATGTATGCTGTCAGCTCTGCTAGAATTGGTTGTGGACTGGGCAAGATGTACCTATAGAGTGGAGAAGATGGAAGAAGCAGGAACTGTCATTGTTATCACTGATGTACACTTCTGGTTACACGAGTTAGGGTTTGTGAAGTGTTGTATAATGGCAGGAACATGAGGTTGGGTCAGGAGACTGGGCTCCTGGGGACCTGATACTCTGCAGCTTCAGGGAAGAGACAACCTCTCCGTCTCAGTTTCCTCCACAGAGTTGTTGTGAGGGTGAAATGAGATGGGGGAAATCTTGTTTAAATATATGGTCTATTCATGAATTAAATATCCAGTAGACGTTAGAAGGGTCACAATTTCATTAGCTTGTTTAAAGGTCCCATCATTCTGTCTTAAAGTACTAGGATCCCCTGGTCTGCCAGGTGTAGTTGCTGTCATCTATTTTAGTAGAGCTGACTTTGTTTTCTCTAAATAACTCCACTCGACACTTCCCACCCGGCACTCCTGGAAGCAAACGTCACACACCTACACAGACTTCTGGGTAGGAACTGGGCCAGTGACTTACTGGCCACTAGCAGATGTTTCTCTTTTTTCACTGAGAAAAAAAATATTTCCATTAAGTCATTGTCAGTGTGTGCCATCCTAACCAACCCCTGGTTTCACTGTTTATCAACTCTCACGTTTTCTTCTTTCAAATCACCACAAATGTGATGATTTGAAATGTGATTCTGAAAGAGCAGAAAATACTAGCGGCAGGAAAAAGGTGGCAGGGAATCGTGATGCTCCAGCCACACAACAGAACTTCTTCAGGATGGTGTCCCACAGCATGTGTGGTGCTAGGGGGACTGGCAGAGTGAGGGCCATACTTAGAAATTATTCTATAAAAAACAAAGGCTTAATTTGGGTCATACAACCTTTTTTTTTTTTTTAATATTGGACTATAGTCTCCCTTCACAATAAAAAACTCATTGCCATTGGGTCGATCCCCACCCACAGTGACCCCATTGGTTTTCCCATGTGGGAAATCTTTGCGGAAATAGATTGCCCAGTCTTCCTTCTGCAGAGCGGGTGGTGGGTTTGAACTGCCAACCTTCTGGTTAGCAGTCAAATGCCTTAAGCACTGTGCCACCAGAGCTCCTTCTCTTCACAATATATAATTGAAATATAGGATATACAAAAATTTATCTAACACAGGCATGGTTTGTAAAACACATGAAACTTTTTATAATAATATGGAAAGAGTGATATATTGGGAAGAGGTCCCAGTAAAAAAATTAGGACAGAGGGCAGTGAACTAGAGCCTGTGGGCCAAATATAGCCCTCATACTTGATTTTTAAATGAAGTTTTATTAAGCACAACCATATTCATTCATTTCTGTGTTGTTCATGGCTGCTTTGGTGCTATAGCGTCAGAGGTAAGCCATTGTAGCAGAGACCAAGTGGCCCACAAAGCCTGAAACGTTTACTTTCTGGCCCTTAAAACGGAAAACTTTTGCCAACCTCTGAATCAGAGCAAAAGATTATCTGTATAAAATTACCTTGAAAAAACTAAGAATTCCAGGATAAAGCTTCAGTGTTTGTCACCATTTTGATTAATATTTTGCCATAAGTTTTGTTCTTCTGTTCCCACTTGCATCCAATTTCACATTATACCATCTTTGGAGAGACAATATATGAGGAAAAAATACACCTGTTGGATGTAACATCTGAGATTGCTATTTCTATTTCTCAAAAATGGACAGATATCAGCAGTTTGAGTGGTTGGACTTACTATCAAGAATTTTTTTTTTTTTTTTTTTAAATTTCACTGTGTTGGTACTTTTAACATTTTTGGTAGGATTTTGACTTCACATTATCAGATCAAGTGAGAGCCCCCCCGCCCCCAGAAACTCAAGTAATATGGCTTTTCCAACATTTTTAAAAATATAAGAATTTTTTCTTTCTCCAAAATATTGCTCATGTTCCTGGAGACTTGATCCTGAATCTGTAGGGTAAATGCTCAGGGCTTAGGCTGTAGCGGAAGGAGTGAATTCACACCTGTGGGAGCTGGTGTGCAGGTTTCATGACTGCTAATTGCTGCCCTAGCCCCAGAACCTCTCAGGTTTGTGCCAAGTGACCTCCAAGCTTTTCATGGTCACAACACTCCCTCAAGAGCAGCTTTGGCAGAGAATCCATCCTTAGCATCAAGTTCAACATTATGATGAATAGGCCCGAGTCCATTCAATGTCAAAGTAAAAGAAGCCTTAGACTCTGGGCAGATTATGACACCTACTCAAACCAAACTCACTGCCGTCCAGTCAGTCCTGACTCATAGCAACCCCTCCTTGGGTTTCCGAGGTGGTATCTCTATGGAAATAGATTGCCCAATCTTCCTTCTGAGGAGTGACCTACTAAGCCTATGCTATTCTTTTACACAATAGCTCTTTAATCATATATGTATGCTGAAAAGTCAAATTTCAGAAATTATTTCCGAGATGATTGAGAAAAATATTGGGGGGATTGTCAATAATTTTAATTGGAAATATCTCAGAATCTTTCTCCAGGCTTGGGGAACCTTATTCAGGGCTAGGTCCACATTTAGTAGAGAAGACTGAACAGAAGCCTTCCTAGCTGCTGGGAAGTGTGAGCTGGAACCATTGGCTTGGGTGAGACATGAACACCTGTGCAGGTGTTGTCAAATGTGAATGAGGAGGGCCAAGCTGATCTTTGCCTGCAGGAGCTCCAGGTGCACTGTGCAGAGGGCCAGGCCCTGTTGAATGCCGTGCTTCACACCAGGGAGGAAGTGATCCCCTCCGGCATCCCCCAGACTGAGGACCGGCTCCTCGAGGCCCTCCGGCAGGACTGGCAGGCTTATCAGCAGAGGCTGTCTGAGACCCGGACTCAGTTCAATAACATTGTGAGCAAGTTGAGGCTCATGGAGCAGAAGTTTCAGCAAGTCAATGAATGGCTGAAAGCAATGGAAGAGAAAGTGAGTGTGAGGCCTGGCAGTCAGACCAACCGAGCAACCAAGGAGATCCAGTTACATCAGATGAAGGTACGGCTAATGGAAGGCCCTTATCTTCGTCAGTCAATTGTTACCTTGCATTGTTTGTCTCACTAAAATATTTAAGAACTTTTTGTTCAAGGCTTAGATTTTGCAAAATCTCCTTCTGTGTCACTAGAAATGTAAAATAAATAATAATAGAGAATTCCTATGATAGCAGTTCTTTCATAGACGCTTAAATGAGTCCTTGAGAGAACAGTTTAATGGAAATATATTGTAGTTACTTCCCATGCCTGATTACATTGCTTCTTACAGGTTCATGATGGCTGTTTGTCCAGTTATATGAGTTTATGGGTGTGATATGAAATTTCCCTAATATAATGCACTGAAATGATACTTGATAATTAATTTGGTTATCATTTTTAAGCCATGTCAGTGCACACAACCAAAGTAATGTTTTGGCCTTTGAAGTTCTTTGGTATTCAAAGCACCAGTTCTTATTTTAAAATTAAGTACAACTGAAGATATAAAAAATATATGCCACTTTGTTTTTGTTTTAAATTTTTTAACTAACGTGTAATAAATATAAGAAAGTGCCCAAATCCGAAAAGTATAATTTTTATCATGTTGTTGTGGTACAACTTTTTGAAAAGGTTATGAATGATTCATCTTGAAACTATGTCTCAGAATAAATACTTTCTAAACATATATTAAAATCATTTCCTATTAAGATCGATCTATCTGTCTGTCTGTCAATCAGTGCAGTCCCTGGGAGATATAAGAGGTTAACACACTCAGCGGCTAGCCCAAAGGTTGGCGGTTTACACTCACCCCAAGGTGGCTCAGAAGAAACACCTGGGTTTCTGCTTCCGAAAAATCAGCCATGGCAAGCCTTAGGAAGCACAGTTCTGTTCTGACACACAAGGGGTCTCCATGATTCAGCGCCCGCTAGATGGCAATTGGTTGGCTGGTTTTGGTCATTCAGGAATGCCCCAGATTAACTCTTGGCACCCAATGCTTACTTTATTTCAGAAGTGGCATGAAGAAGTTGCAGCGTACAGAGACGAAGTAGAGGAGGTGGGGGCTCGGGCGCAGGAGATCCTGGACGAGAGTCATGTGAGCAGCAGGATGGGCTGCCAGGCCACCCAGCTGACTTCCAGATACCAGGCCCTTCTGCTCCAAGCACTGGTGAGTGGCCACCAGCTATTCATTGTAGACCCGCAGACTTCAAGGCCAAATGTTCTCATTGACTTCTGGGGAAGATGCGTTTATATCAGCAAAGTCTCAGGTCTTTAATTCATGGCTCACTTTTCTTTTTTCCTTCAAAGGAACAAATAAAGTTCCTGGAGGAAGAGATCCAGAGTTTGGAGGAATCTGAATTATCCCTCAGTTCCTATGCTGATTGGTACAGTTCTACTCTTAAAAACTTCAAGAATGTGGCTACGAAAATTGATAAAGTTGACAAAGCCATGATGGGGGAGAAAATGAAGATGCTAGAGGTAGGCATGCATGCTTAAGACATGTCTCCCAAACTTTGTTTGTTCCAAGCCATGTGTTCATACCTACCTGATACACTATGTCATCCTTGCTTCGTCATTTCACACAAATACTAACTGACAAGCTCTTGAAGGTCAAAGATGGCTTTCATTAATTGTTAATCATGTCTGGAATAATTTACATATGACTAATTGTGGAATTATTAACTCAGTTCCAGCTTGCTGATTAAATTTTAAGAGAAAAACAAACATACACCTCAAATTCATGGCATAGTATCTTAACTTAGAGTTGTAACTTAGATCCTTAAGAGCACTGTTGAGGCTGAGAGAAACATCAGGCTCTCGTTGATGTCTCTGACTTGGAAATGGCATATGGATCAAGGCTTTAAAATCTATATTCAGAAACCAAACCTCTTGCTATTGAGTCCGTTCCAACTCATGGCAACCCCGTGTGTTTCCGAGTAGGATTCCATAGGGGTTCCTTGGCTGTAGTGTTTGTAGAAGCAGATGGAAATAAAGGAAAGAGGATTCTTGATTTGGGGCAGGATTTATCTGGTTATAAACTTCAAAATCTTATTTTATGGCAAAATAGGTGGACCAAAGGATGGGCCTTGAAAAAGCCCGTTGTTCTTTAAAAAGAAAGAATTGAGACTAACTCTATCTTGTTTTCTTATCACTCTCTTTCACAGGCTTTGCTAAAGGACATGGAGAAGGGCCACAGTTTGCTGAAATCAGCCCGGGAGAAAGCAGAGAGGGCTCTTAAATTCTTGGAGGATGGTGAGGCAGACACATTGAGGAAGGAGATCCAGGATCATGTGGGGCAGTTGAAGACACTGACCAGCACTGTCCGGAAAGAGCACATGGCCCTGGAAAAAGGCCTTCATTTAGCAAAGGAATTCTCAGATAAATATAAAGCACAAACTCAGTGGATAGCAGAATACCAGGAAATCCTAAACATTCCTGAAGAACCCAAGATGGAATTATATGAGAAAAAAGCTCAGTTATCGAAATACAAGGTAGTTGTTGTTACTTGTTAATGCATGGATGTGAAGGTCACATAGGGGTTGAATGGGAGTGGAGCCAATTCCCGTGCGTGTCACCAAAACCACCACTGGTAGACCATGTTGGCATATCTGTTCTACTGGTGATGAGTGATGTTGTCACATGAGTACATTGGTTTGGCCACATACCCTCTCTCAAAATTATTTTTCCATTCCAGGATCTTTTTATCTGATGGTAAAAGATTGTAATGACCCAGGTCTGTCCATCCTCACAACAGATCTTCTTGGCATCAGCATCCCATATCTCTAAATGTTACCTATCCCACAGAGAGGCTTCCCTTCATCTTTTGGTACCTACCCAAGGCCTGTAAGGTGACCTATGGTGAACTGAAGAGGAAATGTCCCCTTTGTAAGGAAACAAGTTCTAATTAACAAATGATAACTAAGCACCTTAGAAATTAATTTTGAAAAGACTAAACAGATAGTGATGGTTGGCATAAATGATGTACAAAACTAGTGGCCGTTGAATCAATTCTGACTCATGGTGACACGAGTGTCAGAGCTGAGCTGTGCTCCATAGTGTTTTCAGCAACTGATTTTTTCAGAAGCAGGTCACCAGGACTTGCTTCTAAGACACTTCGAGGTGGACTCAAACCTGCACCCCTGAGGTGAGCAGCTGAGTGTGTTGAACATTTGCACTACTCAGGGACTCCATACATGATATAGATAAAGGTATTTTATCTACTCAAATTCTCCAAACAGTCATCTATCTGTGGCATTATTTGTGGTTTAAATTTGTTCAGAATAATTTAATAACAGTCTTTAGGAATTACAGTGTGGCTTACCCCAAAGCTTCTCCTGTTGGTGTTGTGAACTTCTCTTCCTCCAGAGTGTCTACTCCTATCCACAGGTTCACTGCCAAGCCTGACAGCTTGTCAATGAAGGTGCAGGAGGAGAGCCACAACCTTTTCCTTTTTTTTTTTCCTCCAACTGAGTTCTTGATATTGAAATAGCATTTTAGGCTGTCACAGCAGGGCAGCAGCTGGAATTTGTCTCCCTACTTCATCTCCAACTCAAGCTGTAATTAACTTCCCCAGCTCAAAATCAGAAGACAGGAGGCTCACTCCCATCAATTCATGTTGCAGTCCTTTTCCTCTGCTGATAGAAATGCAGTGGAATGAAGGAATATGAGTATGTTAAGTTTGTTGTTGTTAGTTGCTATGGAGTCTGCTCCGATTCACGGCTACCTATATATAACAGATTGAAACGTTGCCCAGTTCCGCACAACCTTCATGATCTTTGTATGTTTGAGCTTATATTCCTGTACTAGAATAGATGATAATCTATTTTCATTGACATGTTTTCAAAGATTTCCAAGCCTTTCTTCCTAGCCTGTCTTAGTCTGGAAGATTTGCTGAAACTTGTCCGCCATGGTGGTGTTTGAAATACCAGTGACATAGCTTCCAGCATCATTAACATGCAAGCCACCACAGCATGACAAACTGGCAGACAAGGGGGGATGTTAAAGTTAGCCAAATGTCATTGTCTCCCATGCTTCTCTCTCTACCTCTGAAGGGTCCACCTGACATGTTACTCTTACTCTGTATTTAAAAACTCTATGAACACTAGCAAATCATTCTTTAACGTTTTCCACTTATTGACTTCTAAAATATATGTCAGCCCTTAAATTAGGGTGGGTCATCTCTTAGACATGCCGCCGGTGTGTACATATCCTCACCTTGAGCACACGGGTCAATGTATATAGACCTTCATCTTGAGCGCACAGGTGAACTGTCTCTTTTTATTTTCCTTTGTACTTCAAGTCACTCCAACAAATGGTGCTGTCCCATGAGCCATCAGTGAAGTCAGTGAGTGAGAAAGGAGCAGCTCTCCTGGAACTGGTGCAGGATGCTACTTTAAAAGACAAACTGGAGAAACTGCAAGCTGATTACCAGGACCTCTGCAGTGCAGGAAAGGTAAGGGGAGGTCAGAAATTGGCTGCAGCAGTGTTTATTTACCGAAAAGGAGCCCCAACTCCCTTCTCTCTATCGGAGATTTAAAGGGCTGCCATGAGTCAGTTTCCCTCTTATTCAGATGGACATCTGAAATGGCAGAAAATGACTAGTAATTTTCTGGTATCAGTAACTCTACACTCTTGTGAGTGATGCTGGGTGTTTTGATATATAAAGCAGTGTAGAATCTGTTTTTGTCTTGAGAGTCACCCCTAATGGGCACTGGTATTGCAGGAACACGTCTCCAGCCTGGAGGTGAAAGTCAAAGACCACGAAGATTACAACAGTGAGCTCCAGGAGGTGGAGAAGTGGCTGTTGCAAATGTCGGGCCGGCTGGTGGCGCCTGACCTCATGGAGACCAGCAGCCTGGAGACAGTCACTCAGCAGCTGGCCCATCACAAGGTACCACTCATCTCTAACGGCCGACTTGGTTGCTGTTAGTTGCCCTCAAGCTGGCTGCCACTCGTGACCTCATGCACAACAGAACGAAGCCTTGCCTGGCCCTGCACCATAGTTCGTGATCCCTGGTGTGCGCACGTCTGCTGACGTAGCCGCTGTGTATTTTCAATGTCTTCTATCCTTGAGGACGGGGAGGTCCATCTTCTACCTTTAAATCGGACAATGTTCTGTCATGATTCACACGATTTTCTTTGGCTCATTGTCAGAAGTAGACTGCCAGCCTATTTAGCTAGTCTGTTTTAGTCTGGCAGCTGCTGAAACCTGTCCACCACCTTGGTCACCCTGCTGCTATTTGAAATACTGCTGGCATAGCTTGCAGCATCAAGGCAACATGCATGCCATTACATAGGACAAACTGGCAGAGGGGTGATGGTAACAGCTGGACAGATGACTTAAACAGTCATGCCTTTTTCTGTCTTTGTGTGTGTGCACACACGTGTGCATGACAGTAATTGTACTTACATCATCACCTCTGAGTCTAGAGAAAATGTGTGAGTTGAGAACAAGAACATTGGAATCCTGGCATCCACCTCCTGAGCACATTATAGCATTTTCCCAGCTAATACGTTTATCTCAGCCTTTAGTCTTTATGAAGTGATTTATTAAAAGAAACAGATTATTTCTCTTTTAGAAAAGTGCAGCCAAAGATAGGATATAAGGCCTGACTCTTCCCCCTTTCCAGCTGAAGGAACTCAGCCTCCCTGAGCCTCTTTCAAACTCTGCTTAAACGGTGATGGTAAGGGCGGCCCCATCACGTAACTGTTGTGATAATCACGGGAGCTCATGTCTGTGGAGCATTTTGCAATCCACAAAGCATGAAACTGATACAAAGTTTCCTTATCTTTATTAATACGTATTTTTTAGCAGATGTCTGTACTGATGTCATATGGTCACAGTTTTATGGTGCAACTCTTGATGACCACAGTGGGAAATGGCATTTTGGTCATGACTTGTGTGGTATGTGGCAGTGTATTTCAGAAAGCTGAGCCTCTCTGGGCTTCAGTAGTCCTATCTGTAGGAGATTGTAGCCAGCAAATAAGAATAGAAAATCAACTACACGCTACTTCGTACTAGACACTGAGGTAATCCCAACTCAGCAGATAGTCTGTCCCGGTAACAACATGGTGCTGTAGTGGTTCTGTCCCGTTCTGCAGACATTGTTTTCCCTTCAGGCCAGTGTCTGTGCTGTTGTCGAGGGCGGTTCAGTGGGTTCTGACGCGGAGCCTCCCTGTGTGCGGCGGATCCCAGCACTGTCGGCTCCTGTGCCATCCTCACAATCACTGCTGTGCTTGAGTTCATCGTTGCAGCCACGGGGTCAACCCGTCTCCAGGAGGGTCTGCCCCTTTTTTGCTTTTTTAACACTTTGTGAAGCATGATATCCTACTAACACTGTGATATCCAGGAAACTCTCTGCTGGAAAGAGTCCCTTGCCATTAGCATCATATGTTGTTGTTGTTATGTGCTGTCGAGTCAAACCTGACTCATAGCGACCCCTCCTTGGGTTTCCGAGGCAGTATCACTACGGAAGTAGGATTGCCCAACCTTCCTTCTGAGGAGTGGCTGGTGGGTCATATAGTCATGAATTAAAACCTAACTTGATAAACTTGATACCTTCTCCCCGAGAGATATCTATAGATGCTCATTAAAGAACATGTGTTACAGAGTCTGAGCTGAATTCAACAGCTCTGAGTCTGAATCTTGGGGCTCTGCTGTTTACCAGCTATGTGACCTTGAGTGCTAAATAACCTCTCTGTGCTTCAATCTCCTCATCTGTCAGACAGTGGTGATATGCACATTCATCAGGGCTTATAAGTAGCTCCTGAAATAGAACAGGTTATTAATACATGGTAAATGGTAAATTGTATTTTAATTAATATGAACATTAGAGGTAAATTAGATATTGATAATTGTGTTGTTACCGTTTCCGATCATTGAATCAACTCTGGCTCATGGCGATATACGTATTGTTGTTGTTGTTGTTATGTGCCGTGGAGTCAGACCCGACTCATAGCGACCCCTCCTTGGGTTTCCGAGGCAGTATCATTACGGAAGTAGATTGCCCCACCTTCCTTCCGAGGAGTGGCTGGTGGGTTTGAACTACCAGCCTTCTGGTTAGCAGTCAAGTGCCTTAGCCACTATGCCACCAGAGCTCCCATGTATAACAAAACAAAACCTTGCCTGGTCTTGCTTCGTCCTCACAATTACCAACATGTTGGAGTCCATTGTTAGGGCTACTATTGTGCCAGTCCACTTCAGCCAGGATCTCCCATGCCTTTGCTGGCCCTCTCCTTCCAAAACCAAAAACCAAACACACTGCCATGGAGTCGAATCTGACTCATAGCGACCCCTCCTTGGGTTTCCAAGGTGGTATCACTATGAAGTAAATTGCCCAACCTTCCTTCCGAAGAGTGTCTGGGAAGTTTGAACTGCCAACATTCTGGTTAGCAGTCAAATGCCTTAGGTGCTATATTATCTCCCCCTAGTGGTTGATCCTTCCTGATAAGGTGACCAAAGGAAGTTAATCAAACAAGGTCCTCTTTAACCCATAGCATTTCCATGGATTAATTTTTGGAAGTAGATCACCACGCCTTTCTTCCTAGCATACATTAGTCTGGAAGCTTCACTGAAACCTGCCCACCATGGGTGACCTGCTGGTATTGGAAGTACTGGTGTCATAGCTTCCTCACAGCAACATGCAAACCACCAGAGCACGATGAACTGACAGACAGGTGTGGAGGTAGATGCCATTGTTGTTATGCCATCAAGTCACTTCTGACTCATGATGACCCCGTGTGTGCAGAGCAGATCTGCTCCACACGATCTTGAAGCCATGACCTTTCAGAAGCAAAACACAAGGGTTATCCTCTGAGGAGCCTCTGGATGGGTTCAAACTGCCGACCTTTCAACTAGTAGCTGGGCGCCTGACCATTTGCATCACCCAGGGCCTCCTCTTATGTTAGGTCTTGATAATTAAATATTATATCAATTAACAATTAGGTTTTAGATGATTAAATGTTAGCTAAATTAGTTTAAATTATAATTAGATTATTTTAGATCTTAATTATAACAGAATAGTGATTTAAAGACCTGAAAAATGTATGGGCATGCTTTTCTCTGGTCATCATATCCAGGAGCAGCTACCTCTACTGCTGAAATCAGTACCGAGTGCACTGTAGTCTTCAATGTTACTTCATCAAGCCTCCTGCCCCTTAATCCCTGAAACGCATGAACTCTATTAAAGTGTCCCACATGCCCAGAAAACACACTTGCTTAAAGGAGCACTGGTCGGGCACTGTTTAAGGCATTGGGCTGTTAACCAAAAGGCTGGTGGTTCAAACCCACCAGCTGCTCTGTAGGGGAAGATAAAGCAGTCTGCTTCCGTAGCAGTGTGCTTCCGGAGAGATTTACAGCCGTGAAAACCCAATGGGGGTCACTATGAGTCAGAATCAACTCTATGGCAGTGAGGTCAGTTTTTTTTTTTTTTTTTTTTTTATGTAACCAAGACAGATTGCAAAACTCTTATAAAAACTTCAAGTTATTAAACATTGAAATTATCAATCTTAAACTTCCCTGTTTGATCAATAGGCTGTTTTTAAATGCAAAGTGAACTGCTTAGAATAACATATGTGTTTATCTTCTTAGGCAATGATGGAAGAAATAGCTGGCTTTGAAGACCGTATGAACGACCTTAAAGTGAAGGGTGACAATCTAATCAGTCAGTGTGCAGATCACCTCCAAGCTAAACTTAAACAAAACGTCCATGCTCACCTGCAGGGCACAAAGGATAGTTACTCGGCAATCTGCAGTACAGCTCAGAGGGTGAGTGTCACCGTAATGTCCTATAAAGATGATGAAACGCTGAGAAGCCTGTGGACTGGAGAGGTGGTTAAAGGGAGTTAGAGGCTTAAGTCTTTGGGACAGTTTTGGTGTGTGCGTCGTGATAACAAAATAGGAGGAGAGATTCCACAGGGTCGACGTGAACGCAGAACTAATGGGGTGCATTCGATGGATGTGACTGAGTGCTAAATTTCTACCATCCAATTTGACCCAATCCCTTTATCCCATGAAATAATGGTGAAAATTAAACTGACAAGTGGTTCTGCTTTTATTTGCATGCCCACAGTACTTCTTTCTGATTCGTCATTTATTCCGTAACATCAAATAATTAAGTTCTTTCTGTAATTTTTACAGAATTACTTTATTTTTAACTCTGTGCATCCTTTGACTGTCATTCAATATTTTCATGTATTCATATAGAAATTGAGAAAAGGAGTGTTTTAATTATCTAGGGCTGTCATAACAGAAATACCACAAGTGGGTTGCTTTCACAGAAGTTTGTGCTCTCACAGGTTAGGAGGTTAGAAGTCTGAATTCAGAGCACCAGCTCTATAGGAAGTCTTTCTCTCTCTGGTGGCCCCAGGAAAGGTCTTTGTCTCTTCTCCAGCTTCTGTTCCTTGGTTTCTTCATGATCTTCATGTGATATCTGTCATCTGCTCGTTTGTATCTCAAAAGAGATTGACTTAAAACATACCCTAGAATAATATTCTTTGTTAACATAAAGAAAACCCATTCCAATATGGGACTTTAACCACAGGTATAGCAGTGAGGATTTATATCACATATTCCTTGAGGCTCTGGTAGCATAGTGCCTAAGGCATTTGACTGCTAACCAGAAGGCTGGTGGTTCAAACCCACCAGCCACTCCTCGGGAGGAAGATGGGGCAATCTACTTCCATAGTGATACTG